AGAGGGCCTGGTCCTGGGAGGGATCCCCGCGTCAGAGGGCCTGGTCCTGGGAGGGATCCCCGCGTCAGAGGGCCTGGTCCTGGGAGGGATCCCCGAGGATCAGGAGAGGCCCGGGCCCTCCTTCTCAAGACTCCACGGAGCAGGGCAGGTCCTCCTCCAGGCCCCAGGAGCTCCCTGCCCACAGCAGGTGGGAGAGAGGTGCGTGAACGTGGGAGGGGGCCCTGGAGGTGGCGGGTAGGCCCCTTCCAGACCCTGAGCCGCCTTCACCCAAGCCGACATACACAGGGGGAGCCAAGGCCCTCACTCCCTGTATGTTGATTTAAGATTTTGACCCAGGTTCCACTTCCCCCCTCCCATGCATCCAGCGGGGTCAGACATAACAGTGGACCCTGCAAAGCGGTGACCCTCCAGGTCAGGGGCTGCTGCCACAGGACTGACAGCTGTCAGACTATGCCAGGCGTGTGTGACAAGGGGGTTGTAGAAGTGACCACCCGGAGCGAGGGAGGCTGCTGTGGAGGGGGGGGGGCAGGCAGTCCTGCGCATGGCTGGCTGGCTCGCAGAGGGCTGCGGCCACCAGCGGGAGGCTCATGGGAGGCTTGGCCTGGCTGGACGTTCGTTACAGCCCTTCTCCAGGATGGAAGGGATCTGTTCCCTCTGCTCTGTCCTTGTGACTCCTCTTGCCGGTGGTCAAGGCTGCCCTAGGCTGCTCTCCCCGCGCATGGGTGTTTTGTTCTGGGGGAACTGAGCTAAAGGTCTCCTGGAGAAGAGCTTCCGGGTCCCTGAGTCAGACCGTGAGAAGCCACGAGCTCTGGCAGTGCTGGGGTCCCAGCCGCCTTCTGCCCAGGACTTTGATCTTTTCCAACAATCTCTTCTCATGGTAGAGGTCCAGAGAGGTTGCCTCCGCTCAGCTGAGATCAAGGAGAGGCTCTGGGCAGCACTTATCTCTAAAATAACAATGACAGAAGCCTGCCCTTTGACTCCTGGGCTAGACCCTGGGGACGCTTGTCTGGAGGTTGGGCCTGTAAGTCTTACTTAGCAAGTGAAGCCCGGTGGATAGGGCGGCTTTGGACCAAGTACCTTTGCTTTGAAAACCCTGAAAACCCACAGAGAAGAAGAGTTTGACCTTTTTACTGACTGCAAAGAATACACAGGAGTAGGAGGGGTACAGATTGCTCCGCTGCCCCTCAGTGATGGCCCAATGCCCTCGAAGAGGTCGCCGCACACAGGCAGTATGCACAGGAGCACACCTCTGTTTCTTCTCCCCCTTTTGGGGGGAGGAGCACAAGACTGAGGCTTGAACTCAGGGTCTGGGTGTCCCTGAGCTTTATTCCTCAAGGCTAGTGCTCTACCACCTGAGCGATGGCTCCTTTGCTCATTAATTAAGAGTCCCATAGACTTTACTGCCAGGCCTGGCTTCAAACTGAGATCCTCAGATCACAGCCTCCTGAATAGCTAAGATGACAAGTGCAAGCCACAGCGCCCAGCTCCAGCGTACGTTCTTACACCGGCCTCGCTGTGTTCCCTGGTGGACACACACGGCCCATGCCCACTCACTGCCCAGCATCTCTCAGGGTGGATTCCTGTGTCTGACCATCTTTCTGTCTTTTCTGTGAGCTATTTAGTTTTTTTATTTCATTTTTTGTCACTCTGGGCCTGGGCGCTGTCCCTCAGCTCTTCAGCTCAAAGCTAGCGCTCTACCACTTGAGCCACAGCGCCATTTCTGGCTTTTTTCTTTTTGCTTATGTGGTGCTGAGGAATCGAACCCAGGGCCTCAGGCATGCAAGGCAAGCGCTCTTCCACTGAGCCGCCTTCCCAGCCCTGTGAGCTGTTTGTTCCGTATACTGACTCCTGTGTATCCCTCCTCTTATGGCTCCTCACAGGCTGAAGAGCCCAGGTCAGCCCGAGCCTTGCCAGGAAGACCTGTGTCCTTTGCCCTGTGCTTGCGGTGGGCTGAGCCGGCCTCAGCTATCAAACCTCACTTTGATGAGACTCTACGTAGCAACCTGGTGGCTCTCTCATGCATGAAGCAGACGCTTCACGGCCTGTGGTCTGGAGCCATAAAGCCCAGCCTCCTTCCCCGGCTACCTAGGCTTGGCTGCCGGCACTGGGCGTCCCTGGAGGACACTGCGTGGCTTCTGAGCACAGGGGCGGTGGGGAGGCCTCAGGCGGCCCCTCTGCGGATGCACCTCCATCACACTTGTTTTACTGTCTGGTTCTAGAAGATACTTCTAGAACAGAACACCCTGGTAAGAGGGTTCGATTCAAATCACACCAATCGACTTTCCACCTGTGGCTTTTTTCCTCCTCTGTTGCCAGGTGGCTTCCTGAACCTGCACAGTCGGCTTTGTGCATTTCCCTGGGGCTCCCCTAGGTCTGATAGAGGGGTGGGCGTGGGGTGGGGGAGAGGTAGAGGTAGTGATGATGGTAGAGGTGATGATGATGATGATGGTGATGGAGGTGGTGGTGGAGGTGGAGGTGGTGGTGGAGGTGATGGAGGTGATGGTGGTGGTGGAGGTGGTGGTGGTGTTGATGATGGTGGAGGTGATGATGGTGGTGGTGGTGATGGAGGTGATGGTGATGGTGGTGGAGGTGATGATGGTAGTGTGGAGGTGGAGGTGATGGTGGAGGTGATGGAGGTGATGGTAGTGGTGGAGGTGGTGGTGGTGATGATGGTGGAGGTGATGATGATGGTGGTGGAGGTGGAGGTGATGGTGGTGGAGGTGATGATGATGATGGTGGAGGTGGAGGTGATGGTGGTGGAGGTGATGATGATGATGGTGGAGGTGGAGGTGATGGTGGTGGAGGTGATGGAGGTGATGGTGGTGGTGGAGGTGGTGGTGGTGGTGGAGGTGGTGGTGGTAGAGGTGGTGGTGGTGTTGATG